TACAGGAAAGGGCTAATATCCCTCTGGCTATTCGCGGAACAATGCCACGCCCTTATATATGGGGAAAATAGCCAGAGAGTCAGAATTCATAGGATTTATTATTATTATTATTATTATTATTATTATTATTATTATTATTAAAATATTCTCAGTCATTCAGCCTCACCATTTGCAGACAAATTTTTCTGTCCTTTATTTACAGGATGGATGGTTAAGGCTCATTCTACTTGACTATATGAATTTTTATGTGCTTAAACTTTGAATAGACTTTTAAGTTTGATTTTTGTAAATAATAGACAAAATGATAAATACTGTAATCACTCAAATGCTTGATATCACCAGTTGTGCTTCAAAAACATCACGGCTTTCACCCCTCACCTTTTAAAAACAAAGAGCAAATCTGGGCTGAATTTCAACTCATCAGCCACAAATTGGGAGAGTTGAAAGGGACCCTGGGGTCATCCAGTCCAACCCTAAAATACAGGGTTTATAGCAAGATTTGTACTACCAGAGAGACACACACATACTTATGTACACAGACACAACTGGGGAAGAGACCACAAGCCATACACCTATCACAAGCCATGCGCATATCATGTACTAATGAAGAGGAAAATAAAAGTACCCAACTTTATACAGAACCCTTTTAGCAGATCTTGAAGCTAGTTTGAGTGAGAGTTTACTTCCTTAGACTAAAGAGTGCAAGTTCCTAGAGAAATTATCTTTAAAGGAAGATTGAAGTGAACATTTTCCTAAGATAGGGAGAGGATCTCTTATAAAGCAAAGTTAATTCAATTGATATAACCACTCACAAATAATTAAAACAGCCATAGATTTGATTTAAAAGGAATACAAAAGTGAACAATTTCTCCTGAACTTGCAGAGGAATAGTAAGCCTAATCTATGCCCCCCCCTTTGCAGTTTCCTTTAAAGGAAGCTTACTCGGGAGTAAATTTACTTGGCACAGAAGTAAGAAGGAGAAGAAAAGAAGAAGAAAAAACCTGAAAGAGACAGAATGAAACAAGGGGGGGCATTTTCTAAGAAAGAGGCCAGGAAGTCTTATAGAGACTGATATTTGGACTGGACTCATAGAATTTTGCTGGCCATGGAAGCCTCTACATTTAATAACAATTTTCTTAGAAAGAACACCATACTTTCATAGGCATATGCTTAATGAAATACATACACTGCATTTTAGCTTGAGAGAGCAGTTGGCTCAACTAGGCTTTTGCAGCAGAAACATTAGGTTAACTTCACATTCCAAAATAGACTGGAACACAGGTGTACTCACAAACTCAAGTTACAACACAACATCATTTACCATTAGACTTAAAATCACTCTCCTCACTTAAACTAGAGGAAGGAGGTGGGGTAATCCTCCTTTCAGAACACAAGTAGCACGTATACAGGATTTTACCACTTGGGAGAAAAACTCTTTTAGAGCCTCTCTCAAATAACAAACATTTGCACACTTCATTCTCAATTTTTGTCTTGTTTAAGATTGATAAGGTTCAACATGGCTTTCTTAGATTTAGAACTTGGAGCAAGCTTGCATTTTTATTTTAGATGGCACATTCAAGATAAGCAGCTGCTGGATGTTACCTAAGTACAATTTAAACACAGGAAAAACGTTTCTTAAACACAAATTGAAGGTGACTGTCAGAGTCCAGGTGGGAAATAAGCACCAACTGGGCTTCTTTCCCATCAGGAGTCTGCGGGTTCATTTCTTTTGATTGAGGTGCACCCATTTTAAGAATTTTAATAGCGCTAGCTTTTACTTTTATACTGCAGTCGGGGTTTTATCCCCACTTTTCAGGAAACACAATAAATAACCCACAGTAGACTCAATTTGGACAACTCCGAGAATTAGTACTGTGACACACCGCCGTTCGTCTGGCCTGACTTACTAGGCTGGTACAGCTGTTGGCCTTTCCTGGCTACTAAGCTAACAGTGCAGTCAGCGATCTCAACCCCCCCCCCCCTTTGGTCATTACTCAGCCAGGGAGCCCACAGCAACCTCCTGCCTCTTACAATCTAACCTGAGAGTTCCCTACTGGACGCTTGCATAGCGCGGTGCCAGATTGGGACTCAGAAATGACAAAGAAGGAGAGGAATCAGGTGCCCTTGCTTTCTCTGCTCACAGGTCATCTCTAACAAAGATCGCCATGGCAGAGGTGCGGCTGCACCTGGGAGTTATAGTTTTCAGTACAGAAGAAAAAGCACGACCTTTTTCTGGGCAAAACTCCGAAGGAATAGGTCGGCATATAGACTGTAGAAGGGAAATAAAAGAAGTCACACACAACTTTTGCCTGGGCATACTCCGAAGGGCTAGGGCTGGTGTTGAGATTGAGGGGACAGAAAGGAGGAGAAGACAATTTTTAGATGAGGAAAGAAGTAGAAAGTTTAGATTTGAAGGAAAAAGGAAGAGTTAAAGAATTTTGGTTGCTGTGGTTTAGAGACCCCAACCCACTCCCCGTGTTTCCTACTTAATACTCACTTCCGCATGCGCTGTTCCTGGTGATCCCACGATCTCTTGACTGGTTGTTTAAGGCCGGCCTGATCAAGCGTTGCTTCCTCTGGTTAGCCCCGCTGAACCTCCAGTTATTTCCAGACCCTGGGATCGATGGAAGACTGGTCATTCCTCCTGGCAAACTGCCTGGTGCGCGCTAGATAACCAGTCCTTCCTCGCTTCCAGAATCCGGGTAACCAAAAGTCCCTTCGTGCGTGGTCGCCATCTACATGCATCCACTGGGAGAGATCATCAGGGAGTTTGGGCTGGGTGTTCATCAGTATGCGGATGATACGCAGCTCTACCTCTCTTTCAAATCAGAACCAGTGAAGGCAGTGAATGTCCTGTGTGAGTGCCTGGAGGTGGTTGGAGGATGGATGGCGGCTAACAGATTGAAGTTGAATCTTGACAAGACAGAAGTACTGTTTTTGGGGGACAGGGGGCGGGCTGGTGTGGAGGACTCCCTGGTCCTGAATGGGGTAACTGTGCCTCTGAAGGACCAGGTGTGCAGCCTGGGAGTCATTTTGGACTCACAGCTGTCCATGGAGGCACAGGTTAATTCTGTGTCCAGGGCAGCTGTCTACCAGCTCCATCTGGTATGCAGGCTGAGACCCTATTTGCCCGTGGACTGTCTTGCGAGAGTGGTGCATGCTCTGGTTATCTCTCACTTGGACTACTGCAATGCGCTCTATGTGGGGCTACCTTTGAAGGCGACTTGGAAACTGCAATTAATCCAGAATGTGGCAGCTAGACTGGTGACTGGGAGTGGCTGCTGGGACCATATAACACCGGTTCTGAGAGATCTGCATTGGCTCCCAGTACGTTTCCGAACACAATTCAAAGTGTTGGTGCTGACCTTTAAAGCCCTAAACAGCCTTGGTCCAGTATGCCTGAAGGAGCGTCTCCACCCCCATCATTCGGCCTGGACACTGAGATCCAGCGCCGAGGGCCTTCTGGCGGTTCCCTCATTGCCCGCCCTGTGGAACGCCCTCCCATCAGATGTCAAGGAAATAAGCAGCTATTCTATTTTTTAAAGACATCTGAAGGCAGCCCTGTTTAGGGAAGTTTTTAATATTTAATGCTGTATTGTATTTAACACTCAATTGGGAGCCGCCCAGAATGGCTGGGGAAACTCTGCCAGATGGGTGGGGTACAAATAATAAATTATTAAATTTTATTATTTCCTGGTTTGTGTGTGTGGTAGCTTCCGGTTGGGATCATACAGAGGGGCAGATTTTGTGAAACATCACCTGGTTTTGTTAAATTTTGACAAATGAACCATTGCAATAGTGAAAATCACCATGCTTCCCCCACCCCCCAGTCATGGAAGCACCAGTCCATCCCGTTGTTTATATTTTGTAAGGGGAGTACTCTTTCTATCTCCCAGCATGATGATCCGGGTAGCTATTTGAGAGTCTCCCTTGGAGACACGCCAAAGCCTGAGCCTATGCATCTTCCAGAAATGTGCAACCCATTAAAAATAATATATCAACTTGAGGTTGGGTAGTTAGTGCACGGACTGTGGAACTCACTCCCACGAGGAGGCAGTGATGGCTACCAACTTGGATGACTTTAAAAGAGGATGAGAAAAATTGTGGGAGGAGAAGTCTCTTGAAGGCCATGGGGGTCATGCTCTGCCTTCCACAGCCCCAGGCAGCAAATGCTTCCGAATGCCAGTTGCTGGAAACCACAGGAGGGGTGCCTTCTCTTGCGCCGGGAGTCCTGCTTGCTGGTTTTCCCCACAGACATCTGCTTGGCTATAAGAACAATGATGATCATGATAATAATTTTATTATTTATACCCCGCTCGCAATCTGGCTGGGTTTCCCCCGCAACTCTGGGTGGCTGCTGTGATGCTGGACCAGAAGGGCCAGGGGGCTGAGGCAGCTGGCTCTTCTTATGTCCTTTTGCTGATGTACAGAGCACTAGAACTACTCTATACACGTCTGGCCTAGTGGCATTCATGCAATACAAAGGCGGGGGGGGGGGCGTGCGCTTTCCCTGTGAAAACCTGTTCTTAGGATGTGCCAGACCATAAGGGGGGGGGAGTGTGGAGGAGGCCTTTGGGTCGGGGTGGGGCGCGTGCAGAGGGAAGAGTCAAGGACCATCAGTATACTATTCTGGGCATGATCCAGTTCTCACGTAGCTGCATTGTCTTATACTTTCCGGATATCTCATGAGCATCTTATAAAGTGCGGTGCTCTATTTTACACATCAAGCAGGGACAGGACTGGTTTCTTTTTGTTTTCCAAGGTCTCTCTTAGAAGGGAGGGAGCTGCGAGGCCAGGCCGGGTCCCCCTCCGCGTCTCGCCGGCCTCCTCTCCCTCCCTCCTCGCGTCGCGATGACTTCAGCCGCTCGCCTCCCCCCCTTGCCGGGCGCGCCCATTGGCTGCCAGCCCCGGCGGCGGCGGCGGCGGCGTCTCCTCCTCCTCCCCGGTCCGCCCTCGCCGCGTGTTGCAGGAAGTGCTGGCCGGGCTCCTGGCGCCGCAGCCTCTCAGCTGATCGGGGAGCGGAAGCGCCTCCCCGCTTGGACGGCGCCGGACTTTGCCTGGGGAAGCGCGCCGCGGAGCCGGGCTTCATTCCGGGAGCATCTCGCTGCTTTCTCCCTCCCGCGCTTGGGCCATGGAAGGGAAGCCGAGCGCGCCTCCGTCCTTCCCGCGGGGCCCCCGGCGGCTCAGCCCCTGACAAAAGCAGCCCTGAGCCGGAGACTCGCGCGCCCGGCGCATCGCCCTCCGCGAAAGGCAGGGAAAGACATATATATTTTAAAAAGGATTCCTCGCCGACCTCGAAAGAAGGAAGGAAGGAAGGAAGGAAGGGGGAAGTCCTGCCCCGGCGCCCCCTTCCCCGGCAGAGTGCGATGAGCGCATCTTGGGGGGCGTCGTCGGCATGGCATCCTTCAAGCCCTTCGGCCAGGCTGGGCCGAGAGAAGACGAGGAGGACGGAGGCGACTTGGACCGATCTCTCCAGCAGATGCTTCGGGCGATAGTGGAGGAGAGGAACCGCGTCAACATCCGCCAGGAGATCAGCGGGCTGGGTGAGTGAGGGAGGAAGAGGAGGGCGGACACCCCCGCCAGGGCAGCTCTCTGCCCCGAGGCGCCTCCGTCGCGCTGCGTGTTGCTGCTGCTGCTGAAACAGAATAAAGGCAGCGCGCAGCTTTGGCTGGCCTTTGCCACCTTTTCAGATTGGAAGAGACAGACCAACAGGGCCAAAGGCAACCTGGTAGCCACAGAAACCTGGCAGCTGACCCTTCTTCGTGCCATGGAGATAAAGGGAGGAGGGGGAGTTCATACGTTGTGTTTCTCTGAGCTGGCGAGGCTGCTGTCAAAGGCACAGAACCAAGACATCGCTCTCTTTGTTGTTATAAAAGTGGCAGCCTCGGTCCAGTATACCTGAAGGAGCGTCTCCACCCCCATCATTCTGCCCGAGGGCCTTCTGGTGGTTCCCTCATTGCGAGAAGCAAAGCTACAGGGAACCAGGCAGAGGGCCTTCTAGGTAGTGGCGCCCGCCCTGTGGAACACCCTCCCATCAGATGTCAAAGAGATAAACAACTACCTGACATTCAGAAGACATCTTAAGGCAGCCCTGTTCAGGGAAGTTTTTAACATGTGATTTTACTGTATTTTTGGTTTTTATGGAAGCCGCCCAGAGTGGCTGGGGAGGCCCAGCCAGATGGGCGGGGTATAAATAATAAATTATTATTATTATTATTATTATTATTATTATTATTATTATTATTAGATCCATATCTTTTAGGGTGTGAACCAATGCAAAGGAGGCCTAGTTAATTTCTAAGAAGAAGACATGCCAGTACCCAGGTCTGTTTGGAAACAGGCTCCTGTGATCTGCAAATCCTTCCGCCAGATTCCTGATAAGATTGAGCTCTTTGTCGATATTTAGTGGGGAAGGAAATCTACTCTGCACTTGCTCAAGGAGGCATTGGTTCCTGTCCCTCCTTCGTATGTTTCAAGGGTTAAAATATGCCAGAGGTGGGCCCAGGAGCATATAAACCCCACAAGAGAATACAAGACTCCTTGTACTCCCCCCCCCAAAATATTTTTATTTACCTAAACGAGAAAAAGGTAATTTTAGGAGATAGTTTCATGACAAACTTCCCTTCCCCTCCTGTTCACTTCAGGGATTCCTGCTCAGTTGATAAGCAGATGCTGAAAGCAGGGTGGGAATTTGTGTCTGCTGGTGATCTGTGAAAATAACAGTGGCAAGCATGTATTATTCTGTTAGCTAACCCACATCACATGCTCTTATGTAGGCAATCTTGAGGTATGAGAAACAGCATGCTAAGCAGTTCTTAGAAACACTCTGCCTGTCAAAATATGGTTACTAGGCCCAAAATCCACATGTCTGGGGTTTCTGTATATTGCTTCAATGTGTAGTTGATGCCTGTTGCTCCCTTAACAATGCCAAAAACCGCAATGGAGCAGTACATGACTGTCTTGAGGTTGCTTGTCTAGATTGGACAAAGTTTGCCTTATCTTCCGCTTGTTAAATTGATCAGGAGACTGTTGTAAGTGGCCACTAGTCCAATTGCTTGTGGCAAAGGAGAACTGTCTCCCCACAGAGAGGCCTTTGCAAGCCGGTAAGAGAGTCTGGGTTCTGTTTTCCCTTCTTCAGTCTGTGTTTGCATCAGGCTAGCAGAGATATGCCTGTCTGAGCTATTAAACGTTTTTGTTGGGCTATTTACTAGTCTGAGATAGATGGTGGGAGAAGACAGCTAGATAGCAGGAAAGGGGTGGAGAGTGTGCATTTCTGGAGGCTCACTGGAAAGCACTGCAGCATCATAGTTTAATTGAAACCCACATGGCTTGGTTCTCCCTCTTTCCCCACCTCTCTTACTTACACACTTGCTCAGATAGCCAGCATAGAGCCTTTTCTTCATTGTCTCTCTTATCTCTGACTCATGGCCGTAATTTATGGTGCATGGATCCTATTGTCAGAGCGGGAGCCACATGAGCATTTTGCATGTGCGGACTCTGCCTAACAGCTGAGATCTCACATCACATGGAAACAATCCATAGCCATCTGTGAGGGAATTTGATAAAGCAGCATTGATTTTATTTCTCTGGGAGAAAACAAACTGGAAAACAAAACTGAAGCTTTATGCTGAGAGAATAAAGCTGGCTGTGTACTTTGTATCTAGAAAGCAATGTAAACAAGAGTATCTTTTTCTCTCCCCACATCCCGCCCCCCAAAAAGAAATTGGACCTTGCTTCCTGTGTTGATCTAACACCTGCTGTGTGTTCTGAGGTCTATGTCTGGATAGGATCTGGCCTAATCTCTGTGTAAATAGGTTAAGAGCTTTAAAAGTAATCTGTTTTCTGTTGCTTCTAATATCCTTTGAAGATGTTGGTCAAAACTTCTAACAGGTTTGCCTTGCTTACTCTCCTAGGAATACATTCCTGTAGAACAGCTGAGTTATTTTGTCCTCCCCACCCCCTCGAATCATGAAATTTATTTGGGGGCACAGCAGGGTTTCCCTTTCCCAGTGAAAACATCAGTAATGGTACACAACATTCCCTGAGCCTGTCGACCACTGCAGGTAGCCTGTTTGCCTATGGGCAGTCACAAGTTGCTTAGGTTCTATGGATTCACAGAAGGTCAAGATGAGGTCCAACAGCCCCACGTGAAAGAAGGGGACACCCTAGGGCACTTTCTAAAATCCTCCATAGCGTTCAAGGGCTCTGGGGCACAGGCATGTGGGTTCCTCAGTAGAATAGTTGGTGTGGAAAGTGTTCTCTGAAGGTTGAAAGTGTGGAAAAGCAATTTGTGGTGGATGTTTCTGCAATGAACTTTTATTTGAATCAAGTGAGTGACTTTTTTGTAACGTTGCCTTTTGGTTGTACTGCCATTGTAGCTGCCTTATTGCAACAAATTAGGCATTAAGAGTGGCCAGCCCCTAGCCAAGTTTAAGTGACTGGGAGTGGCTGCCGAGACCACATAACACAGATCCTGAAAGACCTACATTGGCTCCCAGTACGTTTCCAAACACAATTCAAAGTGTTGGTGCTGACTTGAAAGCCCTAAACAGCCTTGGCCTAGTATACCTTAAGGAGCGTCTCCACCCCCATCGTTCTGCCTGGACACTGAGGTCCAGCTCCGAGGGTCTTCTGGTGGTTCCCTCCCTGCGAGAAGTGAGGTTACAGGGAACCAGGCAGAAGGCCTTCTCGGTAGTGGCACCCGCCCTCCCATCAGATGTCAAGGAAATAAACAACCACCTGACTTTTAGAAGACATCTGAAGGCAGCCCTGTTTAGAGAAGTTTTTAATGCTTGATTCTATTTTTAATATTCAGTTGGGAGCCACCCAGAGTGGCTGGGGTATAAATAAATTGTTGTTGTTGTTGTTAAAGTTGCATTCTGCCCTCTCTGTTTCTCTTTTGTATGCTGCCACTGCCTTGTGTCTGATGTGCCACCATAGTGCCAAGATATCTTGGACTGACCAGCAGTTCTTACACAGCACCTGAATTCTGTCCCAGTGTTTGATAATGCAGCAGTTCTCTGGTTATTGTCGGACTGAGTTATATGTTGTTGTTGGGTGTGTGTGAAATGACAAGCTTATTAGATGGTTTGATGTTCTTTCGTTTAGCTTTTCTTCCCACCTCCATCTCCATCTGAATCAGACCCTCCCTGCTCTGAGTGACTTCATAGTGTCTGTCAGGGTCTAAGTGAGCTCCCTTTGGGTCTGTGCAAATAGAGGCTATGCTTGTTGTTCATACTAGGCACTTCTTTAGAAAATAGTAAGCTTGAGAAAATCTATACAGCCCAATCCATCTCTTTAGAAGCCTATTGTGAAATAACTGCCAAGGAAGGCAATGTGGGTAGCTTCGGATTCTGAATATAATACTGTTCTCTGTCAAAGTGACTTAGGTTATGTACTCATTTTTGCTCTTGCAGTTTTTCCAGTGCAAATATGAATGAACTTGCATGTGACCACATCTGTAAAATGTTTGCAGTCACAAGGTAAAATAATGAAGCTGTATCTAAGTATAGGCCAGTCATCAGTTTTGACCAGTCCCTTTCACTTCAGGAATGTTGCCCGCTATTTACATTTTTGTTCCATGTACCATATATCTATTTTTCTATATTTTCAGTCTTATGTTTTTAATGTAGTACTGTAAATAAATCTAGCCAAGATTTCATTTCCTCTTTATGTTAACACATAAAGAGCCATGTTGTAGCTCCATTTCCAGCTATTTCAGCAATAAACTGCATGCTCCTGCCTACTGGAGCTGTTTATTTTAATTACATCAGGAGATCTGATCCTCAGTCTGTGACATCACATATAAGTGGGGTCATTGTAACAGTGAAAAAGTCTGTTAAAATATCAGATGTCCATATAGCATCATCTCACATAAGCAGGGCAATTTGTGTTCTGCTTTTAAAACAGAAAGGGAGAAATCCTGCACAGAGCAATTTGAAAACTGTGACCTGTATAAATTATAGAAATTAAGCATATTTGCATAGGGCTAATTACTTTGCCTAATTTGTGGCCAAACTGCATGTTACGTTAATCAGAGTTCAAAAACAAACATACACACACGGTTACTTTTATTTTTTAGGAAAAGCAGCTGGCGGGTCCTGAAAGTGCCATTAGCAGGGGCCCAATCCAGATTGGGAATATGGTGCTGGTTCAGTGACTCACCAGGCTCCATTTCCTTCAGAATAAAAGTAGTGTGACCCTACATATTTTTTTTCTGGTTATGAAAAGGGGGGGGGGAACCATGCACCTAAATATGGGATCTTTGTAATTTCTGTGCATCTTTGTAATTTCCATGGAAAATTACTGGATGACCCTTGACAATGTTGGATGCAGTGACGTACAATACTGGCTTCCCTCTTCTATCCAGACACCAAAGAGAAGGGGCTCCTGAGGCAGAGGCAGCAGTACCTTGATCTGCTATCCCTAATAGAAAAACCACGCTGAGCGCCTGCCTTTTCCTCTTCCTTTAATCTGTTTTGCCTGCTGCAAGAGTGGTTGATGTTTTTGGCAAATGTGCCAGATTTAGACAACAGTGTGAGTC